GCTAGGCAACCTGGGTTACAAGGGTGGTGAGGCTAGGCAACCTGGGTTACAAGGGTGGTGAGGCTAGGCAACCTGGGTTACAAGGGTGGTGAGGCTAGGCAACCTGGGTTACAAGGGTGGTGAGGCTAGGCAACCTGGGTTACAAGGGTGGTGAGGCTAGGCAACCTGGGTTACAAGGGTGGTGAGGCTAGGCAACCTGGGTTACAAGGGTGGTGAGGCTAGGCAACCTGGGTTACAAGGGTGGTGAGGCTAGGCAACCTGGGTTACAAGGGTGGTGAGGCTAGGCAACCTGGGTTACAAGGGTGGTGAGGCTAGGCAACCTGGGTTACAAGGGTGGTGAGGCTAGGCAACCTGGGTTACAAGGGTGGTGAGGCTAGGCAACCTGGGTTACAAGGGTGGTGAGGCTAGGCAACCTGGGTTACAAGGGTGGTGAGGCTAGGCAACCTGGGTTACAAGGGTGGTGAGGCTAGGCAACCTGGGTTACAAGGGTGGTGAGGCTAGGCAACCTGGGTTACAAGGGTGGTGAGGCTAGGCAACCTGGGTTACAAGGGTGGTGAGGCTAGGCAACCTGGGTTACAAGGGTGGTGAGGCTAGGCAACCTGGGTTACAAGGGTGGTGAGGCTAGGCAACCTGGGTTACAAGGGTGGTGAGGCTAGGCAACCTGGGTTACAAGGGTGGTGAGGCTAGGCAACCTGGGTTACAAGGGTGGTGAGGCTAGGCAACCTGGGTTACAAGGGTGGTGAGGCTAGGCCATCTGGGTTACAAGGGTGGTGAGGCTAGGCAACCTGGGTTACAAGGGTGGTGAGGCTAGGCAACCTGGGTTACAAGGGTGGTTGGGCTAGGCAACCTGGGTTACAAGGGTGGTGAGACTAGGCCATCTGGGTTACAAGGGTGGTGAGGCTAGGCAACCTGGGTTACAAGGGTGGTGAGGCTAGGCAACCTGGGTTACAAGGGTGGTTGGGATAGGCAAACTGGGTTACAAGGGTGGTTGGGCTAGGCAACCTGGGTTACAAGGGTGGTGAGGCTAGGCCATCTGGGTTACAAGGGTGGTTGGGCTAGGCAACCTGGGTTACAAGGGTGGTTGGGCTAGGCAACCTGGGTTACTAGGGTGGTTGGGCTAGGCAACCTGGGTTACTAGGGTGGTTGGGCTAGGCAACCTGGGTTACTAGGGTGGTGAGGCTAGGCAACCTGGGTTACAAGGGTGGTGAGGCTAGGCCATCTGGGTTACAAGGGTGGTGAGGCTAGGCAACCTGGGTTACAAGGGTGGTGAGGCTAGGCAACCTGGGTTACAAGGGTGGTGAGGCTAGGCAACCTGGGTTACAAGGGTGGTGAGGCTAGGCAACCTGGGTTACTAGGGTGGTTGGGCTAGGCAACCTGGGTTACAAGGGTGGTGAGGCTAGGCAACCTGGGTTACAAGGGTGGTGAGGCTAGGCAATCTGGGTTACAAGGGTGGTGAGGCTAGGCAACCTGGGTTACAAGGGTGGTGAGGCTAGGCAACCTGGGTTACAAGGGTGGTGAGGCTAGGCAACCTGGGTTACAAGGGTGGTGAGGCTAGGCAACCTGGGTTACAAGGGTGGTGAGGCTAGGCAACCTGGGTTACAAGGGTGGTGAGGCTAGGCAACCTGGGTTACAAGGGTGGTTGGGCTAGGCAACCTGGGTTACAAGGGTGGTGAGGCTAGGCAACCTGGGTTACAAGGGTGGTGAGGCTAGGCCATCTGGGTTACAAGGGTGGTGAGGCTAGGCAACCTGGGTTACTAGGGTGGTTGGGCTAGGCAACCTGGGTTACTAGGGTGGTTGGGCTAGGCAACCTGGGTTACAAGGGTGGTGAGGCTAGGCAACCTGGGTTACAAGGGTGGTGAGGCTAGGCAACCTGGGTTACAAGGGTGGTGAGGCTAGGCCATCTGGGTTACAAGGGTGGTGAGGCTAGGCAACCTGGGTTACAAGGGTGGTGAGGCTAGGCAACCTGGGTTACAAGGGTGGTGAGGCTAGACAACCTGGGTTACAAGGGTGGTTGAGGCTAGGCAACCTGGGTTACTAGGGTGGTGCGGCTAGGCAACCTGGGTTACTAGGGTGGTTGGGCTAGGCAACCTGGGTTACTAGGGTGGTGAGGCTAGGCAACCTGGGTTACAAGGGTGGTGAGGCTAGGCAACCTGGGTTACTACCTGGGTTGGTGGTGAGGCTAGGCAACCTGGGTTACAAGGGTGGTTGGGCTAGGCAACCTGGGTTACTAGGGTGGTTGGGCTAGGCAACCTGGGTTACAAGGGTGGTGAGGCTAGGCAACCTGGGTTACAAGGGTGGTTGGGCTAGGCAACCTGGGTTACAAGGGTGGTTGGGCTAGGCAACCTGGGTTACAAGGGTGGTTGGGCTAGGCAACCTGGGTTACAAGGGTGGTTGGGCTAGGCAACCTGGGTTACAAGGGTGGTGAGGCTAGGCAACCTGGGTTACAAGGGTGGTTGGGCTAGGCAACCTGGGTTACAAGGGTGGTGAGGCTAGGCAACCTGGGTTACAAGGGTGGTTGGGCTAGGCAACCTGGGTTACAAGGGTGGTTGGGCTAGGCAACCTGGGTTACAAGGGTGGTGAGGCTAGGCAACCTGGGTTACAAGGGTGGAGAGGCTAGGCAACCTGGGTTACAAGGGTGGTGAGGCTAGGCAACCTGGGTTACAAGGGTGGTGAGGCTAGGCAACCTGGGTTACTAGGGTGGTTGGGCTAGGCAACCTGGGTTACAAGGGTGGTTGGGCTAGGCAACCTGGGTTACAAGGGTGGTGAGGCTAGGCAACCTGGGTTACAAGGGTGGTTGGGCTAGGCAACCTGGGTTACAAGGGTGGTGAGGCTAGGCAACCTGGGTTACTAGGGTGGTTGGGCTAGGCAACCTGGGTTACTAGGGTGGTTGGGCTAGGCAACCTGGGTTACTAGGGTGGTTGGGCTAGGCAACCTGGGTTACTAGGGTGGTTGGGCTAGGCAACCTGGGTTACAAGGGTGGTGAGGCTAGGCAACCTGGGTTACAAGGGTGGTTGGGCTAGGCAACCTGGGTTACAAGGGTGGTTGGGCTAGGCAACCTGGGTTACAAGGGTGGTTGGGCTAGGCAACCTGGGTTACAAGGGTGGTTGGGCTAGGCAACCTGGGTTACAAGGGTGGTGAGGCTAGGCAACCTGGGTTACAAGGGTGGTTGGGCTAGGCAACCTGGGTTACTAGGGTGGTTGGGCTAGGCAACCTGGGTTACTAGGGTGGTTGGGCTAGGCAACCTGGGTTACTAGGGTGGTTGGGCTAGGCAACCTGGGTTACTAGGGTGGTTGGGCTAGGCAACCTGGGTTACAAGGGTGGTGAGGCTAGGCAACCTGGGTTACTAGGGTGGTTGGGCTAGGCAACCTGGGTTACTAGGGTGGTTGGGCTAGGCAACCTGGGTTACTAGGGTGGTTGAGGCTAGGCAACCTGGGTTACAAGGGTGGTGAGGCTAGGCAACCTGGGTTACAAGGGTGGTGAGGCTAGGCAACCTGGGTTACAAGGGTGGTGAGGCTAGAAAACCTGGGTTACAAGGGTGGTTGGGCTAGGCAACCTGGGTTACTAGGGTGGTTGGGCTAGGCAACCTGGGTTACAAGGGTGGTTGGGCTAGGCAACCTGGGTTACAAGGGTGGTGAGGCTAGGCAACCTGGGTTACAAGGGTGGTGAGGCTAGGCAACCTGGGTTACAAGGGTGGTTGGGCTAGGCAACCTGGGTTACTAGGGTGGTTGGGCTAGGCAACCTGGGTTACTAGGGTGGTTGGGCTAGGCAACCTGGGTTACAAGGGTGGTGAGGCTAGGCAACCTGGGTTACTAGGGTGGTTGGGCTAGGCAACCTGGGTTACTAGGGTGGTTGGGCTAGGCAACCTGGGTTACAAGGGTGGTGAGGCTAGGCAACCTGGGTTACAAGGGTGGTTGGGCTAGGCAACCTGGGTTACAAGGGTGGTTGGGCTAGGCAACCTGGGTTACTAGGGTGGTTGGGCTAGGCAACCTGGGTTACTAGGGTGGTGAGGCTAGGCAACCTGGGTTACTGAGAAAAAGTAGAATAAAAATTCTTAAGTAATATAAAAATGTTAATTTAAGTAATTTATTAGTTTATTATGCACCCCATACTCATCCTGTGAGCATTAGTTTATTGTGCACCCCATACTCATCCTGTGAGCATTAGTTTATTGTGCACCCCATACTCATCCTGTGAGTGGTAGTTTATTGTGCACCCCATACTCATCCTGTGGGCGGTAGTTTATTGTGCACCCCATACTCATCCTGTGGGCGGTAGTTTATTGTGCACCCCATACTCATCCTGTGGGCGGTAGTTTATTATGCACCCCATACTCATCCTGTGGGCGGTAGTTTATTGTGCACCCCATACTCCTCCTGTGAGTGGTAGTTTATTGTGCACCCCATACTCATCCTGTGAGTGGTAGTTTATTGTGCACCCCATACTCATCCTGTGAGTGGTAGTTTATTGTGCACCCCATACTCATCCTGTGAGCGGTAGATTCCCTAGTGTAGAGGGTGGGGAACCTTACACCCGATGTCTCTGTTCACCCCAGCAGTGTAGAGGTACCCGGGAGTTAGGCAAGTATTGTGGGTTGCACCCTGGGGGGGGGGGAGGGTCAGTAGTTCTACTTGGAACTTGTTGGTCAGAGTTTCTGATTCTTCACCAGCAATCTTGCTATTGCATGAACAAATCTACAAGGGCCGTGATGAGGGTTCGAACCTACGTCCGAGAGGATCCCAGACACGCCTTAATCGACTGAGCTACGACATGGTAAAAAGAATTGCAACCGGTAGGGAGTTCAACTTGACCTCACACGGATCCTGCAGCCTCTCCGAGACACAAACCAGGTTTTTACACAAACCGGGTTTGTGTAAAATTAAGGCAGCGTCTGGTATCTTCTCGAACGTAGGTTCGAACCCTCTTCACGGCCCTTGTGGATTTGTTCATTTGATGCCTGGCGCTATTGTGATGTCTGAGAGTTGGTGTTGCATGTTGCACAGGTGCGGGGAGCGGTGTGGTGAAGTACGGCAGCTACAGGCACCAGGACGGCACCCTCTACGTGGGTGACTGGAACGAGAAGGGCCAGAAGCACGGTATGGGCCACCTGGCACTCCCAGATGGCACCCGCTATGACGGAGCCTTCCAGAACGGTCTCTTCAACGGTCTCGGGGTCATTGTCTTCCCTGATGGTGCCAGGTGTGTGGTGTGGGGGTAGATGTGTGGCTGGAAGTGGGGGGTAGATGTGTGGCTGCTAGATGGGGTAATGGGGGGTAGATGTGTGGCTGGTAGATGGGGTAATGGGTGTAGATGTGTGGCTGGTAGATGGGGTAGTGGGGGGTAGATGTGTGGCTAGTAGATGGGGTAATGGGGGGTAGATGTGTGGCTGGTAGATGGGGTAATGGGGGGTAGATGTGTGGCTGGTAGATGGGGTAATGAGGGGTAGATGTGTGGCTGGTAGATGGGGTAATGGGGGGTAGATGTGTGGCTGGTAGATGGGGTAATGGGGGTAGATGTGTGGCTGGTAGATGGGGTAGATATGTGGCTGGTAGATGGGGTAATGGGGGGTAGATGTGTGGCTGGTAGATGGGGTGGTGGGGGGGGCAGATGTGTGGCTGGTAGATGGGGTGGTGGCTGGTAGATGGGGTGGTGGGGGGTAGATGTGTGGCTGCTAGATGGGGTAATGGGGGGTAGATGTGTGGCTGGCAGATGGGGTAATGGGGGTAGATGTGTGGCTGGCAGATGGGGTAGTGGGGGGTAGATGTGTGGCTGGTAGATGGGGTGGTGGGGGTAGATGTGTGGCTGGTAGTGGGGGTAAATGTGTGGTTGGTAGATGGGGTAGTGGGGGGTAGATGTGTGGCTGGTAGATGGGGTAATGGGGGTAGATGTGTGGCTGCTAGATGGGGTAATGGGGGGTAGATGTGTGGCTGCTAGATGGGGTAATGGGGGGTAGATGTGTGGCTGGCAGATGGGGTAATGGGGGTAGATGTGTGGCTGCTAGATGGGGTAATGGGGGGTAGATGTGTGGCTGGCAGATGGGGTAGTGGGGGTAGATGTGTGGCTGGTAGATGGGGTAGTGGGGGTAGATGTGTGGCTGGTAGATGGGGTAGTGGGGGTAGATGTGTGGCTGGTAGATGGGGTAGTGGGGGGTAGATGTGTGGCTGGTAGATGGGGTAATGGGGGTAGATGCGTGGCTGGTAGTGGGGGTAGATGTGTGGCTGGTAGATGGGGTAGTGGGTGGTAGATGTGTGGCTGGTAGATGGGGTGGTGGGGGGGCAGAAGTGTGGCTGGTAGATGGGGTGGTGGGGGGTAGATGTGTGGCTGGTAGATGGGGTAGTGGCTGGTAGATGGGGTGGTGGGGGGTAGATGTATGGCTGGTAGATGGGGTGGTGGGGGGTAGATGTGTGGCTGGTAGATGGGGTGGTGGGGGGTAGATGTGTGGCTGGTAGATGGGGTGGGGGCAGATGTGTGGCTGGTAGATGGGGTGGTGGCTGGTAGATGGGGTGGTGGCTGGTAGATGGGGTGGTGGGGGGTAGATGTGTGGCTGGTAGATGGGGTAGTGGCTGGTAGATGGGGTGGTGGGGGTAGATGTGTGGCTGGTAGATGGGGTAGTGGCTGGTAGATGGGATGGTGGGGGGGTAGATGTGTGGCTGCTAGATGGGGTGGTGTGGGGTAGATGTGTGGCTGGTGGATGGGGTGGTGGGGGTAGATGTGTGGCTGGATGATGGGGTGGTGGGGGGTAGATGTGTGGCTGGTAGATGAGGTGGTGGATGGTAGATGGGGTGGTGGTGGGGGGTAGATGTGTGGCTGGTAGATGGGGTGATGGGGGGTAGATGTGTGGCTGGTAGATGGGGTGGTGGGGGGTAGATGTGTGGCTGGTAGATGGGGTAGTGGGGGGTAGATGTGTGGCTGGTAGATGGGGTGGTGGTGGGGGGGGGTAGATGTGTGGCTGGTAGATGGGGTAGTGGCTGGTAGAAGTGGTGGTAGTGGGTGGTAGATGAGGGTAGTGGGTGGGTAGATGGGAGTTGTGGGTGGTAGATGTGTTGGTGGTAGATGGGGTAGTGGGGGTAGATGTGTGGGTGGTAGATGGGGTAGTGGGGGTAGATATGTGGCTGGTAGATGGGGTAGTGGGAGTAGATGTGTGGCTGGTAGATGGGGTAGTGGGTGGGTAGATGGGAGTTGTGGGTGGTAGATGTGTGGGTGGTAGATGGGGTAGTGGGTGGTAGATGGGGGGTAGTGGGTGGTAGATGGGGGGCAGTGGGTGGTAGATGGGGGGTAGTGGGTGGTAGATGGTGGTAATGGGTGGTAGATGGGGTAGTGGGTGGTAGATAGGGGTAGTAGGTGGTAGATGGGGGTAGTGGGTGGTAGATGGGGGTAGTGGGTGGTAGATAGGGGTAGTCGGTGGTAGATTGGGGTAGTGGGTGGTAGATGGGGGTAGTGGGTGGTAGATGGGGTAGTGGGTGGTAGATGGGGGTAGTGGGTGGTAGATGGGGTATTGGGTGGTAGATAGGGGTAGTAGGTAGTAGATGGGGTAGTGGGTGGTAGATGGGGGTAGTGGGTGGTAGATGGGGGTAGTGGGTGGTAGATGGGGGTAGTGGGTGGTAGATGGGGTAGTGGGTGGTAGATGGGGGTAGTGGGTGGTAGATAGGGGTAGTGGGTAGTAGATGGGAATAGTGTGGTAGATGTGGCTAGTGGGTGGTAGATATGGGTAGTGGATGGTAGATGGGAATAGTGGGGAGTTATCTTGAGATGATTTCGGGGCTGTTTAGTGTCCCCGCGGCCCGGTCCTCGACCAGGCCTCCACCCCCAGGAAGCAGCCCGTGACAGCTGACTAACACTCAGGTACCTATTTTACTGCTAGGTAACAGAGGCATAGGATGAAAGAATCTCTGCCCATTGTTTCTCGCCGGCGCCTGGGATCGAACCCAGGACCACAGGATCACAAGTCCAGCGTGCTGTCCGCTCGGCCCCCCTAGTGGGTAGTGTAGTGGGTGGTAGATGGGGGTAGTGGGTGGTAATGGGGGGTAGATGGGGGTAGTGGGTGGTAATGGGGGGGTAGATGGGGGTAGTGGGTGGTAGATGGTAAACGGAAATAAAGAGGCGTTTGCCTTCGGTTGGCTCATTGTTGTACGCTTCGATTAACTTTCAGAGATGTTTAGACATGGACTGATGTATTTCTGAGGGGCACAGATCACATTCAATTGACTAGTGCCTGGGAGTAATTTTCCTCTCACGCGTCATACACTCCTGTCATGTTGGTTAATTCAGTAAGCAACAAAAGTATACAATAAGTAAAATAATTTACTTTATGGATTCGAGAAGTTTGTCCTGTTTTCGCCTCCTCGTGAATGCGTTTGCATTAACACGCCCAGGGCTACTCACCCAAATTATGTTTCTTATGGATTTATTTTTATTTAATTATTTAACCTGTACTACTGTATCCAAACATGGAGACCTCATCTTCACAAGTATATTGCTGCTTTGAAGAAAGTGCAACACCGGGCAATACAATTCACTTTCAGAGCTAGCTGGTCCTCTCTCGTGCCTGTATGGTTGAGGGCCACACAGCTAACACCACTGCAAGGCAGGCGTGACAGGGCGAATCTCATGGAAACTTAAAATACTGAATAATTTGGAGGATGTTAATCCAGACAACTTCTTCAAAAGAGTAAAGACATTACTGCGGTTAAAAATCCATTTGGAAATAATTCTCTGGAAAACTGGGGAGACCTTGAAAAGCCGCCGGCTTCCTGTTCCCGTCGAGACCATTAGAGAGAGATGGTGGCTCTCGGGTAAATTCGAGTATAATACAGCCTTGATGTATAGCTACTTCCTAAAACCAGTGTATACCAAATTCCCCAAAACCCATTTCCATCACTGGATCTACCCTAACCTAACCTACGAATACCCTAATCTACAACTACCTTAACCTACAACTACCCGAAGCTAAGCTAGGCCCCTAACCTACTCCTAGAATAGGATAAGTGTATTTGCCCTTCTTTCCGGCCCCAGCTGACGACACCGGGGGACGAAACAGTCAACTCACGGCGTGAAGGCGAAAGTTGCCCGCCAGAACACCTCTCAAAATACAGGAAAATCACTGCAATGCTCCACTGTACTTGTCCTACAGTGAGCTCACGTTGTAACTACTGCACAAACTCACCCCTGACTAGGCGATGGTTCCACAGGTACGAGGGGGAGTTCATGCAAGGATGGTTCCACGGCCACGGCGTCTTCTGGAGGAACACCACCATGAGGTTTGAAGGAGAGTTCCGCGGGGGGCGCATCTGGGGCCACGGTAAGAACTCTTCCTCTTTCTCTTGTCTATATTGTCGTAAAGGCTTCCGGGGGCTTTCTCCTGATAACTATTTTACCTTCTTGGTCTTGTCGACGACACTTTGGCAGCTACAGCATCCAAGATATATTGATATTAATGATGTATTGGCGGCATCTAAGATGTGACAGACAGCACCAGAGATGTGACTGACGGCATCTAAGATGTGACTGACGGCATCAGAGACAATGACAGCACCAGAGATGTGACTGACGGCATCTAAGATGTGACTGACGGCATCTAAGATGTGACTGACGGCATCAGAGACAATGACAGCACCAGAGATGAGACCGACAGCATCTAAGATGAGACTGACAGCATCTTAGACATGACAGACACCATCTAAGGTGTAACTAACCACAGTACACACTCCTCTACACAACTCTGCCCATTTTGTTTTTGATGGCATAAACAAAATATTTCTGCTCTCCCTGATGCCCCTGTTACCTAGCAGTAAATAGGTACCTGGGAGTTAGACAGCTGTTACGGGCTGCTTTCTTGTGGGGGTGGGGGGGGGAATAGTAGTAGTTAGTAACAGTAGATTGACAGTTGAGAGGCAGGCCAAAAGAGCAGAGCTCAACCCCTGCAAGCACAACTAGGTGAGTACATCTAACTTAACTATACCCCTAACTAAAGTACACACCATATTATTTCTACACACTTTTTACCACACAACATTTCTACTGCCACTTTCGTCACCTCAACTACAGTCAACCCACCTGGTCTGTCTAATTACCCAAAGCTTCCTGGCATTTATTTATTTATTTATTTATATATATACAAGAAGGTACATTGGGATTGTGAGGATACATAGCATAGTAATTACATTCTTGTAAAGCCACTATTACGCGCAGCGTTTCGGGCAGGTCCTTAATCTAAGAAACTTATAAGTAGGTAAATACTTGCAAAATTTATAAAAATGATAAGTTACATACCATGAAAAAATAAAAGATGAGAGAAAAATTGTAGGTATATTAAAGCACATAGGTAACTCAGAATGATTGCAATGACAGCTTGAATGGTAGTTTAACAAAACTTAGCAGGCACAATACAGCATATGGCTAGCACATAAAAGAAGACAGCAATGACCACAATGATAAAGTTGTTTGGATTAAGTACATAAAGATTGGGAGATTGGGTAACACTAGATACAGAGCAAATTTAAAGCTCAGTGTTTGAAACTACGAAGATGAAATTAGGTACTTTTTGGTTTTGTTTTTGAATGCGTCAAAAGTTTGACAGCTTTTCAATTCATTAGGGAGTGAGTTCCATAGACTGGGTCCCTTAATTTGCATAGAGTATTTACACAGATTAAGTTTGACCCTGGGGATATCAAAGAGATATTTATTTCTGGTGTGGTGATAATGGGTCCTATTACATCTGTCCAGGGAGAGTTTCAGAGCATGGTTTGCATTTAAGAACAGGGTGTTGAAAATGTAGTTGACACAAGAGAATGTGTGGAGGGAGTTAATATTTAGCAAGTTTAGGGATTTAAACAAGGGAGCCGAGTGTTGTCTGAAAGCAGAGTTAGTTATAATTCTGATAGCAGATTTTTGCTGGGTGATGAAGGGCTTAAGGTGGTTTGCAGTGGTAGACCCCCATGCACAGATACCATAATTAAGATAGGGATAAATTAGTGCATAATAAAGTGAGAGGAGAGCAGAGTTAGGAACATAATATTTTATTTTGGAGAGTATTCCAACTGTTTTAGAATCTTTCTTAGTTGTGTGTTGTATGTGGGTGCTGAAGTTGAGTCTCTTGTCTAGGAATAGGCCAAGAAACTTTCAATCATTTTTATTACTGATGTTAATGTTGTCTATCTGTAGCTGAATTGCATTTGATGATTTGCTTCCAAATAAGATGTAGTAAGTCTTTTCTATGTTTAGTGTTAGTTTGTTTGTTGACATCCATAAGTGCACTTTTTTAATTCATTATTCACAATATTATTTAGTGTATGTGGGTTGGGGTCTGAATAGATGAGGGTAGTATCATCAGCAAACAATATAGGTGCAAGAATATTAGAGACATTAGGCAGATCATTGATATATATAAGAAATAGAAGAGGTCCTAAGATGCTGCCCTGTGGCACTCCAACAGTTATTGGTAGAGTGGAAGAGGTTGTATCATTGATGGTTACACTTTGGTGTCTGTCACTAAGATAGGATCGGATATAGTCCAGGGCAAGGCCTCAGATTCCATAATGCTGGAGTTTAAGTAAGAGGTAGTTGTGATTAACAGCATCAAAGGCTTTTCTTAGGTCAATGAAGAGTCCAATCGGAAACTCATTTTTGTCAAGGGCTGAGTAGATTACGTTAAGGAGACTAATGATTGCATCATTGGTGCTCTTTTGGGACCGGAAGCCAAACTGGCAGGGGCTGAGTATGTCGAATTTTACGAGGTAGGAATAGAGCTGTTTGTAGATAATTTTTTCAAATATTTTTGATAGAATGGGTAGGTTTGATATTGGTCTATAATTGTTTATGTTCTCCGGATTGCATCCTTTATGGACTGGCGTTACTCTTGCTTTTTTAAGGATATCAGGGAAGGTGTGACACTCTTATAGATTTGTTGAACAGTAGGGCTATGGGTGGCGCAAGGGCATGGGAGGCGCTCTTGTAAACAATGGACGGAATTTCACTGGTGTTCCCTGCCTTGGTTTTTAGAGTGTATGATGGACACAACATCTGCCGGGCTAACTGGTGAAAGGAGAAGTGTGTTTGGATAGCTGCCTGAAAGATATGTGTTAATATGTGTCTGAGTCTGGGATTTTTCTGGCAAGATTAGCACCAACCGATGAAAAGAAGCTATTAAATTCATTTGCCATTTCTAAATCAGTTGACAGTGTATACCCATCCTTAGAGTTTTATTTGGTTATGTGAGTGTTGTTTAGTTCCTAGGATACTAGAGATGGTTTTCCATGTGCTTTTCATGTTGCCTTTTGTTTCATTGAATCTATTCACATATGAAAGTTTTGCCTTTCTTATGATACTGGTAATCATTGATGAGTACCTTTTAACTACTTCCTTTGAAACTAGGCCAATCCTAAGTTTCTTTTCATATTCATGTTTCTTGTTGAGTTGAGAATGCCACTTGAGAGCCATGGATTGTATAATCTTTTGTCAGTTACTTGCTTTGTAAGTAGGGGACAATGAAGGTTGTAGAGGCTTAGAGTTTTGGAGAGGAAGAGGTTAGCTAATGAATTTATATCCTGAGTATTATTGAATTCAGAATCCTAGTTAATATTGTGAAGTGCATTTGTAAGATTGCCTAAAGCTGATTCACTGTGTAGCCTGAATGTAAGTTTCTTGCTTTTTGGTGGTGTAATGTCCATGTTCGCTATGAGAAAGGTAGGATAGTAGTCAGTTGTTCTGTTGTAGATTATGCCAGATATAAGGGGAGCTGTTATGTTAGTCCATATGTGATCCAAGGTAGTGGCTGATGTTTGAGTGACTCGGGTAGGTTTGGTGATTGTGGGAATTAGCATACAAGAGTTCATCCTGTTGAGGAAATAGTCAAGTTGAGGGCAATTTTGTTGACCCAGGTCAATATTGAAGTCTCCTCCCAGAATGATGTGGTTTTTGTTGAGATTGTTGTTTATAATAAGATTCCTTAGGTTGTCTGAGAATGAAGCTATATTAGTATTGGGAAATCTATAGATGGCTCCAATAGTCAAGGAGGATTTAAGGGATTTAATTGTAAACTGAGCTAAAGTATATTCACAGTAGTCATCTCTATCACTAATGACATTGTTGCAGATAAATGTATCTCGGTAATATATAGCTGTGCCGCCACCTTTTTTATTAGACCTACAGTTATGAATGGCTTTATAACCAGCTAAGTAGTAGAGTTGGGTATATTCTTTATTTAGCCAAGTTTCTGTTAAAATAATGAACGATAAGTTAGTACCTAGTGCTGTGAGTAATGCATTTACAGTATATCGTCAAAATGTTTACCAAGTGATCTAACATTTTGGTTGTAAACTGATAAGCAGGTGCTATTTTGGAGTTTGTTTTTTGCCTGGTGTGCTGTGTAATACTTGCAATAATGATGATCAATGTGCTGGTTGGTGTAGATATGAGACAGAAGATTTTGATCAGGATCAATATCAGTGTGCATGGAAATGCAGAGGGATCACGATACAATAAGACAAGCAATTACAGAAACAGTTAGATACTAAATCTGCTGTAAAAACAAAGTAATTATAGCAAAACACAAGAATAGAAGCAAATACACATAAAATAGTAACAAAATAGAAGTAAAATAAAGATCCAATAGATAGCCAGGAAGGACACACAAGTTAGATAATAAAACCAAAAAATCAGTAAAGTCTGACAATATAAATGTAAAATAAAAAATAAGAAAAATAATAATCATAAAGTAAAATGATCTTAAAGATAATTAGCTTAGTAATGGTTAATTAAAATCCTATAATTAGTATAAACCTAAGAAAACAAAGTGAGCTCAAATAGATAATTCCAAAAAAAAAAAAATGACAAATCTAAGTAAATCTAGAAATTTACTCTAATATAAACCTAAGTGTAAAAATAAACAGGGTGAGAGTATATTTGTGGAAGATTTTACTATGATACTGAGGTAGATGTTTATATAAACAATTATACTATTAATTAATTCAAATAAATGATTACTAAGAAACAAATTCCAAGTTACTTTAAATATAACAGGGTAATTACATTAGTAATGAATAAATATGATTTATTTTTACTCATTATAATGTTGGTGCTTAATCTAGAACATGGAAAAACATATTTTTACTCTGAAAAAGTATCATTTCATAACGAAATTAGATGGAAGTAGGAGCTGCACAGAGCTCAGAAGTAAGCTGCTGGTGACGCCAAAGCAAGTCGACGGTCCAAGCGACAATGTTGTGAAGCGACTTATCCAAGATATATTGTTGCGTACTGGTTATATTAACTTGGGTTTGGATAGGTTAGGTTATGTTTTGT